TGCAAGATGCATCATGCTGGTGTGTGTGGAATTTGCTAATCCATGGACTGCTCGTTCAGGAAACCAGAAGACATTTTAAATTGGCCTTTTTGACAACTGTCCAGAAAAAAAATTACCCTTTAAAGATTAAATTAGTGTTTCAATGTGCAGTCAATATTCTATTAGACATTTCTGTAGAAATAATATCATCAGTATCAAATTACACTTATTGAATCTATGTGTTTCCTATTGCCATTCAGGGGATAGTTAGATCTAAAACCTCACTTACAATTTTAGTTTGAATCCACCTAATCTTAAAGCCTGCAAGAGAAAAATAAAGTGATGTTTCTTCATCAATTCGGAAAAGAGAACTGTTCATTTTGAGAGGGTAGCGGATTAAGAAATGAATGGTTTCATGCAGTACCTAGAACCCAAAGACTGTATTACAGAACCAATTTCTGCAGTGGTTGTACAATGTAAATGTGCTATATACTGTGAGAAATATTAATTAAGGTCACTGGAGATATTATTAAGCCCATTGGATCTGCCGTTTTTGATTGGGTACTTTATTCAGCTTCATCAGGTTAATTTCTTAAATCACCATTTGAATAAAAGCGTTCAAAAACAAATAGATTTTATGAAAGAATTGTAGTTCTTTGCACCTATTTGTTAAAAATCAGGTTTGGTTTCATGTTTATTTCATCATACTGTAAGTGTAATCTAAACATAGGGTCAATGAACTTCAATAATAGTTTGATTACCTATAAACTTTCTGCTATCTGAGAGATGTGATTAAAAGTTGGAATTCCTTTTGCTGAGACATTTTCCCAGATACCAATTGATTCTCAATAAGCTTAAATTAGTACTTATTGATTTTTGCCTAATGGGGACAGGTTGATGAATGGAACCATTTAATTTACACCAGAGCATCACAGCTAAGATGGTTCAATTGTTTTTCTTAGATTTTGTGCTCGAGAACATCGAAATAATGCAGCTGAGAACAAATCATCAGGGATACTGCCACCTTGATACAATTGTACTGTTTGTATGCAAGCTTTTTTTCTAATTATCCCTGAAGAGTATTCTGTCTCCTCTTGAAATCTTGCTTAAGGGAGCCTTAGGTGGAGAGGTGATAACATGATATTCGTTATTTTTGTGACCTGAAAATAACAGCTCCCTAATTACTGTGAGGAGAAAAAGCCAGTGACAGAACCTTCTTATATTCGAGTCATTTCAGGGGTGCATGCTAAACTTTCACAACTTCAATACTCTTTGGCATTCCAGCAGACCGCTCAGATCCTCTTACAAAAAAAAATTACATTATTTTCAGAGAACCATGGAACCATTGTAAAGATACAGTATTTTGTATATATTCATTTAGTTGTTAGTCAATTTTTTTGTATGTATTTTTTTTGTATATATTCATTTAATTGTTAGTGAGTTAGCGGATCGCTTTTCCAGGGGTAATAATTCCTTCAAAAAAATAATAAAATAATAAATCGGTCACTCAGTCCACGACTGTTTGTGGGCACTGCTGCACACAATTGGCTGCTGCGTTTGCCCACAAAATATACAGTCAATTCACTTTACAGTATATTCTGTTAAGCGCTTTGAGACATCTCGACACATGATAAGGCACTATATCAAATGCAAGGATTATTATTTTTATTATGACATAGTAAGATGCCCTTATTATTTAATGTTGGTGTTTCCTCCTATAAAACACTATTCACCCTAATTCTGATTCCCTGTTCTTTCCCCATGCCCCCTAATACCTTTCCTCTCCCTGTGCCTGTCCAATTCTCTTTTAAATGTCACAACGGACTTCGCACTAAAAACCTTATCTGACAAATCATTCCATACCCTGACACTACTCAGAGAGAAGATCTTCGGAAGCTCTACTTTTACTCTCCTGGTCCAGTCTTGATTTCCGGCTCTCTTGCCCTCAAATCCCCTACCATGTAGTCATTTCCATGATTAATTCTCTGAAACCATTAATAATAGATGACTTGGGGCAACAAGGCTGTAGGTAAGTCAGAGTTCAGATTGCGTAAACCATGGAGCATAAATGCGGTGATTTCTAATAGCTACCTGAAGCCATTAATTAGATTGCAAAAATGAAGCCACTCTATCTTCATAAATGATTACTTTGTTTATGATTTTTTGGCTTTCCATTTCTTAAGCATATCTGTGGATCTTTAAAGTATTCTCAAAACATTCTGCTTTCCTGCATAAATAGCGCCTTTCATGTCAGAAAAATATTTCAATGGGCTTGACACTGCTGGCTGGGTACAAAGCTAGAGGTGAGAGCCGAAAGGGGTGGGGAGGAAAAAGATGACTAAGTACGTCAAAGAGGTACGTCTTGAATTTAGTGTCATCTGTAAACCCTCAAGCAGATCCTTGTATTCGATTATTTTTGAAGGAGTTAATTGATGAAGTTTACAGATGACACTAGATTCAAGACACTTCTTTGACGTAGGGGTAATAATCCCTTCAAAAATAAGTAAATAAATAATGATTTGGTCACTCAATCCACGAATGTTTGTGGGACACTACTGTGCACAATTGGCTATCGCATTTCACTCACAAAATATACAGTCAATTCATTTTACAATATACTCTGTGAAACACTTTGAGACGTCTCGAAGCACTATATCAAATACAAGGATTATTATCAAATGCAAGGATTATACGTGGATTGTATTAGCATTCCTTCCAATTTTCTCAAGTATTTTGCTGCTACATGTGTTAGGTTAACTGGAGTATAATTTCCAGGTTCATGTCTCATTCATTTTCTGAACACATTCTAGTGTATCCTGCACACCAATCGCAAGATAAGGAGTGATTTGAGATGTTGTGTACCAAACATTACTTAAGCTTCTGTTCAGCTGACTTTCAGTGAAATACTGCACTATTTGCTTCCCTTACGTTGTAACTTACAATGAAATTATATCTCAAGGTAGGTTGCTTGCAAGACTAATGCATTGATGCCGGAATCTGCATTAACTCCGATACTAAGACTGTTGGAAATAATAAATAACCTCGAAGGGAAATCCTCAAAATGCACGCTAGCAATTAATAATTGTGTTTCGATTGTAGGCTCCAACTATTTTATTTCTGGAACTGGATTGTAAGACTTATAAACAAAATGGCTGTTTACCTCAAGGCCTTGAGCTGGAATCATCCAGATAGTTAAACATCTGTTCTCTAATGTATTAAGTGTCTTAACCAAAAATTGTTCTGTGAAGTTTCAATCAAATAACTAATTGGCATGCTATAGCTGTACAGCACAAAAATATCTATGTTCAAATTACAGCTTCTCACACCATGGTCTTGCTCCCCCCTACCTCTGCAATCTCCTAATTCCCTATCATCCTGCTCGCTGTCTCCGCTCAGCGGGCACCAGCATGCTTCACGTCCCCTGCCTCGCTCGCCCCACTGTTGACAGATGGGCCTTCTGCCACCCTGCCCCCACCCTCTGAAACTCCATCTCACAGTCCCTCCACCTCGCCCCCTCCCTTGCCTCCTTCAAGACCCATCTCAAGACCCTCATCGTTGACCATGCTTTCAATCTCCCTGCTTCCCCCCCCTTGCCCTCAACCCCTCCTGATCCCGACCCCCAGCTCGGGTCTGATACTCTGTCTGTCCAGTGCTTTGGGACATCCTCCCAACACGAAAGGCGCTTTACAAATGTAATTTATTACTCCTGTTGTTATTGAATTGGTAATTTCATTATATTATATTAATCATTATATTGTAAAATCAGGCAGCAAAAACAGTGTACAGTAAGGGTTAACTCTGCTGAACATGCACTTAAGGTGTATTTTCAAGGTAGTTTAAGAAATTTGCATTGCACTTAACTGTACTATATTTAGGATTGCTTGATGCTGTCACTGGGTGCAAAGTGGAAAATGGCCCCATCTGAAGCGCTGTTATTATTTCTTGACAAGCAATCATAGAGAAAAATAATTTCATTTTCTCGCTAGCAATTACTTGCAAAGGGCTAACATTATAAATACTCTCTAAAAATATTGCTACGATAAATTAGAACAGAGATAAATTTAAGCAGAAAAATAACAGTGGAAAGCGTAGGCTGAAATGAAACGCGTTTACTTCTCTAGTAGGATCTGCAGATGATTTACAGGATCAATTAAGAACTCGAAGTGAATTGGAATGTGGGTAACTCCAGTACGTTGTGGAGAATCTCTCTGGGCACTGGGTCAATTTCCTTAGCATTCATAAGCATTTTTCACTCAAAATAGCAAAACAAAAAGGATGTGCATCATTAATTTACAAAATTTACTGTTAGATTTTCTCATCCCTACCAGGGTTTTTGATAGGGTAAACAGAGAATAGCTATTCCCAATGGTAGGGGAGTCAGTGACTGGAGGGCATAGATATAAAATAGTCACAAGAAGAGAGAAAGGAGTGCCTAGGAGAGAGAGTTGTTGGCATGTGGAATGTCCTGCTAATTAAGATGGTAGGGACAGAGTCTATTGTGGGTTTCAAGAGGGAAACATGAATCGCCATCAGGCATTTCTTCTGGTCTTGGCCAAACCACTAGGTGGAGGGGTACACAATGACACTGACCACCTCGCTTTGCTATAAACTGTTTTTCTATCTCCTTAACCGCTCAGAAAATAATGTAAACCAGCAGAAAGAGAAACATATGACAAGTTTGTTGAGGGGCATTCTCAAGGACATTTAATCTGATTTACCAGTTTCTGATTTTTTAAATAAACGTGGACATCTACAAAGGATTACTAACTCATGCATGTATTCCACAAGGGTTGGCTTAGATTTACATAGATTGTACAGCATCAATTAACATGCTGGCAAAAAAATTAAACACTAGAGTTCAACATAAAGTTGCAATGACCACTTGAACTTTACCTCTAGAACTCACCCAATAAATAATAGGCTTTTGGATCCCTCTGAAGTATCAATTAGCCATCACGAGCTCTTCATGCAGTCTGTAATAATACAAAGTGCAATTACTTATATCTGTGTTTCTCTATCAGCTTGTAGGCCTGGATTCTACAAAGCCTTTGGTGGAAACATCAAGTGCTCCAAATGCCCTCCACACAGCTTCACTCACGAAGATGCCTCCGCAGTGTGTCGATGTGAGAAAGGGTACTTCAGGGCAGAGAAAGACCCACCCACCATGGCTTGTACCAGTAAGTAATTCCAGCTATCTAATCCTGTTTGCTAGTTGTCGTAGTTGTGCTGTAGAATATGAAACATATGCGTTGTGCTGTAGAATATGAAACAGGCATAATTTCTTTTGGTGTACCACAAGTAGATAAGGTCAAGTATGGCAAACCATGGGACTTGATTGAAGGAACTACAGCACCCAATCTACTACCAGGCCATATGGATGCAGCCTAAGCATGAGTCATGTCAGACTTCACTGAAAATATATGTCAATGGCTTTTTTAAAAAAAATCTGGATTTTGGGGGTTGAATATTGAGAATAACAAGGTACAGGATCCAGTGCTGGGAATGTAAAATGCTTGAGTTACGTCATGAATCAGAAACGCTGCATAAATATTGAATCCTGCCACGAATAAGGTATGTTCATGCTGGCTGGGAAGTCGACTCTGACACACCTGGCAGAAGATCGCATCAGAGCAGAGTTTACGAAGGGCAGCATGACAGACATCTGGGTATTGTCAGGATTCAAAGGTTCGCAAATTCTGTGCGAATTCTGCATTTTAATTCCCCTTCACCTATAAATTGTATGCAAAGGAATCAATGAGCAATTTTCATGTCTCCTTCACTTCAAAACACTTTAAACTTGGTTTCTAGGTCTATCATCTCAGGAGCAACACACTCCTGGATCAGGTATAGCACAGTTTAGGTAAAGGGTAACTTTTTCACCTTATAATATTTAGTATATTGCGTGGAATCTGGGTGTACTTTTCTCTCCCTCTCCCATCTTAGCTGAAAGATGGGATCTCCAAAAAGGTCGGACACTCAGTATTATAATAGAGTATCAGTCTCTACATTATGAGCTCAGGTTCTTGCGGGATTTGAACCTACAACTTTCTGACCCAGAAGCAAGGTTGCTACCAACTGAGCCAAAATAATAACTGAAAGATCCAGAATAACATGTGCTAGGTGCTAATGTTTTGTGCACAGAATGGGAAATGAGCTAATTTCTCAGAAATTATACCCATGGCTTTGATGAGGGTTAGTACCTATCCCTGGTCATGCCTATGAAGATACAGCTCACATGACACAGGAGAGTATTACAGCACTAAAAATTCTGTATTTAAAAATAATGTTTCTGTCTATAATGGATTAAAAAATAGCAAGTTGGTTCTTATGATGCTTTCTACTTTTTCAACAAAAGAATTATGAGCTAAACACATAGTTGGTGAATACAATTTATTCCCCTGTTAGTGGACTAACCCCAAAGCCACTTGGTTTTATAAAGAACCCATTAATTCTGGCCGAACCCACTAGATAGGATGCCTCATGCTGTAACAGATTACCCTGCCATGAAATGGAGAAAAAATTAGCACAGCTTCTTCAAGAACTTGCTCAGAACAAATATATCTTGTAATAACAAAGTGCAAACTAAAGCCTGGGAAAAGGTCTGATTTCTTCAATGGAAAGCAGCACTTTCTATTGAGAGAACTTTTTTTAGATAACCGGGTGTCTGACCCATGCGGAAACCCATCATCATGCTTAAGAGTATCCAAACCAAACTGAGTTCCATGCATCCAATCTGGAAATTCCCAAGATATTTCTTGGAATGGACAGCAAAACCTCTCCCTGGAGGGATACATTGTACTTATCTAATTCCAGAAAGTATTAGGTACAGGTTGACGAGAGCTAAGGCTTGGGGACCTCAGAGTGTGCACTTGGGGAACTGCTGGAGTCTAACCAGCTAAAATTGCATATCTTGCTACTGAGAGGACTGGCTGTAAAGCTTTCCTGCTGCTAGGACCACCCTACCCATTAGAGTTTTGACTTGCAGAGTTAACAGGAGCTGAGTGGGAAGCGTCCCTGCACCGAGTGGCTGTCCAGCGCCTTGGGACGTCCTCTCAACGTGAAAGGCGTTATACAAATGTAATTTTGTTGTTGTTGGTCTGCCCTTCCAAACTGTCCATTCGAAGAAATATCTTGGGAATTTCCAAAATTGTTGTTGTTGGTCTGCCCTCCCGGGCTCGCAGTGCCCTGGAATACTATGGACCCGCCTGGCTCAGGAACCGGAACTACCGAGACTGCCACAGTGGGCTCGATTCCGACATTCTGTTGCCAAATATATTACCATGGAGCCAGTGCAGCTCCAAGGAAACCCTGCTTCCCTGCATACCTTTGTGGATTGAGTGACCAAATTATTACTTATTTATTTATTTTTGGAAAAGTAATCCGCCAATCGACTAACAACCAGGTTCCTACTTACTGCTAGGTAAACAGTGGTGTGTGGAGTAAGAAACCTTGCCCAACATTTTGTCCTGCCTGGGAATTGAACCCAGATCCTCTCATTTGTAAGTCAAGTGCTCTAACCATAAAGCCCCAGAATTCCCTAAAACTGTAAAATTGCATGATTTCTGATATAAAATAATGTCAGAAAGAAGACCCCTATTCAGAATACTGTAGCTCCAATTCACTGTATCATAAGTCATTGGGAACATCTAGTTGCATCAGTTATAGCTGAATAGTTTGTTGCATTATGGGTGGGGTGGGATGATCACTTGTCAATAAATTCAGATCAGAGGTTTTTAGGAACTATGTGTTGGGTTGATGTGTATCGCATGCAGAGTTCTAGAACAGTATACCAAGACCTATTAACTCTTGCTGTCGGAAGTAAAGATATAGATCACAGTAGAAACTTTTAATTTGGTGTTTGTTTATTTTAGTTCTGAGTATCACATGTAATAGTCGGAAATGAAATCCTAGCTATCTATGTTGATATCTTGCATTGCAACAGGGTAACTTTTTTAGCGTCCTGGTTTTATTACAGAATGACCTTAATCTGCAGTGCAAAGTCATTCTAATTCAGACTTCATTGATCACTGTAGATTGCAATAGGTTCAGGTATTCATGGTGTGAAGAACAGAACGAGTGTCCTTGTCCAGCAACATGCTTCAAACCCTGTTATAAAAATGGGGAAAAAACAACCTATCATTTGTTTTGACCTCATCAGAAAGAAAGCAGAATAATCCCACAGCAAGGAGGGTGTTTGAGATAATGATTGCTCACTGCTCTTTATTATTCTAATTATAAATAGTATCAATCAATGCAATCAATCAGAACTCGATAAGTACATGTCTAAAGGATCCGTGCATTTTTCAATTATCTAAATTGAGCTCAGAACCAACAACCAGCACACTTGATTAAAACAATTATTTTTAAACAATGTGGACATTTGTCATTTCTGTGGAAAATCTCCCAAAAATTAAACACTGAAAATATGCTCTTAGAAAGAAGATAAATGAAGCTAAATTATTTGGAGCTGTTACTTGAATACCCTCTCTCCACACAGAGAGATTACATAACACCAAAGTATGAAACCCCCTTCATGCAATCTGCTTGCAGCCACAGTAGCCATTCTAAAGGTATATTGTCTACTTGTTAATGAGTGAACAACAACTTGCATTTATTTACAACTTGCATTTATATAGCGCTCTTCACCTGGGGTAGCGTACCCAAGCGCTTGACAGTGGGGGAGTCTGACAATGAACCCAGGGATACGAAGGGGAGAGGTGACCGTAAGCATGATCAAATAGGAAGGTCTGTAGGTGGGATTTGAAAGTGGGGAGGGAGGGGACAAGGCAGAGGGAGTGAGGGAGAGAGTTCCAGAGTTTGGTGATGTGAAATAGTCAGAGAAATTGTGTGAAAATTACGAATTACAATGAATGTTATATATTTATATATATAGGTCAATATTATTTTACTGCCATATTGTTTCCGACATCATCTATGCCAGTGAGTGACCATGAATATGAAAGAACCAGCATGATGATATATTGTAGTATGTAAAGCCTATGGTGTTGCTCTTTTGAGAGAATTGTAAAATCACCAGTTACGAATAATAATGATTTATTAAAGTTGACCATTCAATTCCGTTCCTTTCATATTAGTCCTTTCATATTAGTCAATTACTCAAGTTGTTAATTAACTGGACGGTGTCAAGTAACCGCCAACCTATGTCTCATTGTAAACTTACTTTAAATGCTGAACTGAAGTCCAAATCTAGGGCTTTCAGATACTAAAGCATCATTAGAACTTGCATTTGAGACAAATTGACTCAAGAAAATGAATCAAATGCCATTGCTGTCCTCAGTCAACTATCTTCAGTGGCAGATTTACTGCAAAATGTAATTGCGTGATATTAATACATTAGTTTAAGTGTGTTTCAGAACCCCATTGGAGGGCTTTTATGTGGACAGATTAGTAAATAAATTAATAAATTAGTTAACAGCTTCAAAATTATATAAAAAGATGAATGGAATAGTTGCCCAATGAATTGTCATCTTTTTTCTTTAGTGTAATTTTACCTCAACACAAATGTTGTTGCGTTGTGTCAATAATTTCAACATAAGATCCAATAGATTTATGACCACGTATTCTTTTGGGCTCCCCTTTCAGCTCCCAGCAGATCTGGCATAGTTGTATGTTTTCTGTAAATTCTCAGATCACACATTGTGATAAGGAAACCAATCTAAAATATCTGAATCTAAACTGAATTTTAAAAGCAAATTATTTAAATAAAATGTTTGAAAATTAGAACTTTACTTATTTTCTCACCATAATCCCTTTTCCTCTTTATTCTCACATCTTCCCTATTCTATCTGCCACAGTTTCTCTATTTTAGACTATGTTGACTAATCTGATGTATTCTATTTTTAAAAAAGCTTTACACTCACTGGTTACTTTGTCTTCTTTGTTCCTCCACCATCCACTTGTAAGGGCAAATATTTATTGGAAAGGCTTTTGATTAGCAAAAACCTAGCTTTAGAAGGTAATTAACCAGCTGCTTAGTAGCCTAGACTCTCATAAGAATTATTTCTTTTGATTTAGTGTCTTTCACATCAGGAGGATGTTTCAACATACTTAACAGAATATACTACAAAGTGTAATAACTAGCTTTGTTTTGTGGGCAAATGCAGCAGCCAATTTGCATACAGCAATGTCCCACAAACAGCCATCAAACAAATGACCA